ATGAAACGGTTCGCATACGCAGGTAGGTATCTTTGTGAACGGCAAACAAACAAATATTTGGTAATACGCAGTTACAATCGGCCCGAGTTTACACGTTTCCCGCACTCCACCGCAAATCTATATGAACCGAGTTAAGACGGCTCCCGCGGAGTACGCGCAATTCACGCGAGCCGACTTAACTCGTTTCCCGCAATCCAAGTGTTAACATATCATTTTCTAAAAATTTAAAATAACGTATATATATGTACAGGGAAACTTTGTATGTAGAATTGTCATGCTGTATTTTACCTCCTTGACACACTTGAACAATTTGAAAAGCTATATTAAAATTTTTCTCTAGCAAAAGGAAAATGGAAAGATCTGGTTGAAGAGATTACAATGCTGTGGTGGAAGCCAGGACCTAAGGAAAGGAACTAAGATCCCAGAAAGGAGGGCATAGAGAAGTAGATGAGACACTTGCCACTAGTATTCCTCTTAAGGCTCTTGTAAAGCCATTTAGGAATCTAAGAAGCCAACCAGAAAGTGGCTGAAGTCACAGTGAACTATACAGGGGAGATAAAAATTGAAATACAAGACCAGCAATAGAGGGGAAGACACAGGAAATACCCCAGGCTTCTCGATGCAACTCTTGAAGGGTTATATTATAGAGATAGGGAAAAATCAGAATAGACCTTGTCTTACAAAGATTGCAATCAGCCTCCATTCTGCTCCATTCTCTATTGGATTGAAAAGTTGTTTGATTTATCTACTGCTTTATAAGTCTATTGGAGACAGCATATATACGGGTCATGTTTTCTTATCCATTCAGTCACCCTTTGTCTTTTGACTAGAGCATTTAATCCATTTACATTTAAGGTTATTATTGCTAGGTATTTATTTGTTGCCATTTTTATTTTCTTTATGCCTATGATTCCCCTTTTCTTCTTCTTAAAATAGTATCAACATTTCTTGCATTGCTGGTTTTATGGTAATGTACTCCTTTAACCTTTTTGTCTTTAAGTTTTTCATTTCTCCTTCAATTTTAAATGATAGACTTGGATTTAGGCCCTTGCTTTTCATTACGTTCAGTACTTTATACCACTCCCTTGGCCTGAAGTATTTCTATTGAGAAGTTAGCTGATATGCTAATGGGAACCCCTTTATAGGTAATTTTCTGTCTCTTTCTGCCTTTAAGAGACATTTGCCATTTTAACACATTGAGAATGGATCACAAGAATTCTTCTGTTTTCTGTTCTAAGGCTTGTGGCCAATCACGAGAACTCTATAAACAGATATTAGCTTGTAAGAACATGTAATAACTTCAAAATGCAATGGGTATTTAATTTTAAAGTGTGCCTTTAATATTAATGTAAAACATTTTTTGTATTCGTTCAATAGAAACTTATCTGGCCACTGGGTAGATAGCAATAAAACTAATGGTCCACAATGTGTTAATTATGATCTAGGTGTGGGTCTCTTGGTACATCTTGATTGGGGTTCTCCAGGCCTACTGAACTTGTGTGACATTTTCCTTCACCAGGTTGGGGAACTTTTCTGTCATTATTTCCTTAAACAGGTTTTCGGTTACTTGTTCACCCATTTTCCCTTCTAGTATTCCTATAATGTGGGTGTTGTTACATTTCATGTTATCCCAGAGCTCCATTAAGCTATCTTCATGCTTTTTAATTATTTTTTCTATTTGCTGCTCTAATTGGGTATTTATTTCTACCTGTCTTCCCAATCTGATTCAATCTTCAACCAATCTACTTTTAATACCTTATAATATGTTCTTGATATCAGATAAATCATTCTTTATTTCTGTCTGGTTCTTATTTGTGGACTCTACTTCCTTTTTCAAACTGTTGTAATTTGCACTAAGTTCCTCAAGTATCTTTATAACCATTGCTTTGAACTCTATGTCTGATAGCTTACTCACCAGCATTTCATGTATTTATTTTTCTGGAGATTCCTTCTTTTCTCTCATTTGGTGGTTGTTTCTTTGTCTACCTATTTTATCTGTATCTTTGTACTTGCTTCTTTGTATTAGATAGACTTGTTATGCCTCCCAGTATTTGTGTGCTGGTCTAATACAGAAAGTGTCTTGAGATGTCTAATGGTGCAGGCTCTTTGTTCACCTGAGCTGGATGCTCTAGGAATGCCCTTTGTGTGTGTTATTTGGGCTCTTCTGTTGTAATTGGGATTTCATTATTGATATCCTGTTCATGGGAAGGATTTCTCCTTCAACTTACTGCAACTGAGGTTCAACCCCTATGTCGTTGTGCCAGCTGTTATATGGGTGCTGACAAAACGGAATAAGACACAACAGGTCCAAAACAAAAACACCACAAATATCAAACTACTCAATGCAGTAACAACAGGAAAGATTACAAAGGGAAAAGAAGAGAAAAACAAGCAAAGAAAAAATAAAAAGAATACTAAAAGACACACAACCAAAGACTTAGAGGGGATATAAAGAAAAGGGGAGAGCCGAACCGGTTTGGCTCAGTGGATAGAGCGTCGGCCTGCGGACTCAAGGGTCCCAGAGGTTCGGTTCCGGTCAAGGGCATGTACCTTGGTTGTGGGCACATTCCCAGGGGGGGTGTGCAGGAGGCAGCTGATCGATCTCTCTCATTGATGTTTCTAACTCTCTGTCCCTCTCCCTTCTTCTCTGTCAAATCATGAAGTACATCAAAAAAAAAAAAAAAAGAAGAAG